CTGCTGCTGCTGCTGCTGCTGCTGCTGCTGCTGCTGCTGCTGCTGCTGCTGCTGCTGCTGCTGCTGCTACGGGGGAGGCAGCGGGGACTCAGGAGGAAACTGTGCCGCTTCCACACTGAGACAGCGCACTAGACAAGCAGACAATAAGACATTAAAGCAGCAACCAGAAGTGCTTAGTGTCAGAGCGAAGGCGCTGCAGCAAAAGTAGATTTGGAATTCAATTTTCTCAAGTTCAGCCGTTCTAGAGAGGGCAGCACGAGGTCCTTTGCTTCTGGGCACACCGTTGCTGCTGCTGCTGCTGCTGCTGCTGCTGCTGCGCTCATGCTCGTCTTTCTGCCGCGGCTGACGGCGCTGCAAGGACGTTGCTGCTGTTGCTGGTGCTGCTGCTGCTGCTGCTGCAGGAGCTGTTTGCGAAGGTGGTGCTGCTGCGGGAAGGCGTGGTGTTGATGCGGGACGGCGTGGACATGACAGATGAACATGCAGAACTTATTCCCGAAGCTTTGCTGCATGAATCTGAGTCAGCAATTTTCAGAGAGCAGCTGCAGCGGGACTTGGGCGTGCTGCAGCTGTCGCCGTATGCAGCACCAACCTGCGGGCTGATGGCCCGGCAGAGCAGCAGGGGGGACCTTGCAGCAGCAAGCCATTTGCTGCATGCGCACCATCACCACCGCCACCACCACCACGACAAGAGCCACCACCAGCAGCAGCAGCAGCAGCTGCAGCTGCGTCGCCAGCTGCAGCAGCACACTGAAGGCGACCACGAGCTGCAATGAGCAGCAGCGCAGCAACACATCTAGGAACGGGAGAATGACAGAGGCAGCAGAGGTAGCAGATGCAGGAGCAGCAGGAGCTGCAACGGCTGCAACAGCGGCACCCGCCGCTCGAGGAGCTCCAGTAGCAGCAGCACGAGCAACGCGGGCACCCCCAGGCGCTGCAGGAGACGCAACAACAGCAGCAGCAGCACCCGCTGGAGCAGCTGCAGCAGCAAGAACACACCCACCACATTCGGAAGGGGAGGGAGGGCAATTCAGGGGCATTGAGTGGCTTTCGCCTAAGCAGCAGCGACGGGCGTGACCAAGGGAAGCAGCAGCAGCAGCAGCAGCTGCTGCTGCTGCTGCTTCAGTGATAGCCTAGAAACAAAGGCTTGCGCGCCAGTAGAGGGTCTGTCTTGTGGTTAGTAACTGAGTCGAACAAGAAAGCAAAGAGCTTTCTAGTCAGCTTTTTTTATTGGTAAGACACTCGGCTGAAGTGTCTGTACACCCTGGAGGTGCCAGGGCACGCGGGAGGTGATTCTATCTGTACACCTCCGAGGTGTCTGTACACCTCAGATGTGTCGTGTGCCCGAAAGTCTGAAATGCGCTGCCGCGTAGTTTCGTGTACACCCCAAAGTTGCGTGTACACTGCAAGTTTGCATTGGGCTGTATGCACAGCGGGCTTGGGGTGTCTGTGCTAGGTGTCTGTACACCTGAGAGGGCCGCGTGTACTGTACAGAGCTGCGCGCTTTGATGCAAATGGAATTAAAGCGTCAGTTCTTTGTCTTCTCTTGTTGATTTAGATATCCGTGCAGTTTCGGTCGGGTGCTGCTGCTGCGCCCCCGGAGGGCGCAGGCCAAAGTGCCAAAGAGCAAAGGCACACTGGCAAGCACACTAGCACAGATAGTGTGTGCAGCAGCAGCAGCAGCAGCAGCAGCAGTCGGAAGCTGAATGACAGTACCGTTGAATTTGGGTTCTTGTTTGCTTAATTTTATGGATGTGGAGGCCAGTAGCGACGCCTAAGAAACAGGGAAAGTCCAGCAGCAGGGCTTAGAGCTGCTGCGTGTCTTGTTCTATTCCGTGTTGCTGATGTTTAAGAGTGAGTGTCAGTTTTGTGGAAATGCGGCTTTCTCGCCGCCCTATTTCGCGGTGTACGTACACTTCGACGCACTACTCGTTCTTTGTGCTGCAGCTCGCAGCAGCAGTCTTCTCTTAATCTGCAGAGGGATCACACAAGCTTTATTTTTTTAAATTAATCGGAGAGAGTTTAGACACAAAACCGAAAAGCATGCATTAATTTTGTTACTACAATTCGACGCGGTGGGCTGCGAAAGCGGCAGAGCCAGTTAGTTTGCTGCAGACTTAAATAGAACTTCTTTTAATTTGCTTCCAAAAACTGAAAAAGTCACTAAGAGGACTACTTAAGTTGCTGCAGGCACAAGAGTGATGAAGATCCGGGCAAAGTGGTGGCAGAATTCTTAAAGGCCAGTTGAATTGGAATGAGGAAGTAGTCTCACATTGGTTTGCTGCAGCAGGCAACATCCGTATTAATCTGCTGCATCAGGCAGCAATAGTATTAGTTTGCTGCAGCAGGAAGCACTTGTATTAGTCTGCTGCAGCAGGCAACATTAGTATTAGCTTGCTGCAGCAGGCAACACTCGTATTAGTCTGCTGCAGCAGGCAGCATTAGTATTAGCTTGCTGCAGAAGGCAGCACTCGTATTAGTTTGCTGCGGCAGGCAGCAAAAGAGCAGCAGCGGGGCCGCCCAATACCGCTTCTGTGGCTGCTGCACCCAGTAGGCTGGGGAGTTGGCAGCGCAGCAGAGGGCTGTTTATTTATGTTATTTATGTTATATTATGGATATTTAGTTTGTCAAATGCATTTATAAATATGTTGCTGCTCGTCTTTGCGTTCCTTGACTGCATGCATGCATGCATGCAAGCGGACTGGCTCACCCATTTGTCTAGCACAAGGCTGTGGGGAGTTCGCGCTAGAAAGTCTCAAAAGAACAAAGAAAACTGAACCTTAAAAAAGTTCTTTAAAAGCTTCTTAAAAAGCATTTCTGCACTAAAAAATGGAAAGAATGAAGTTTAATATCCGGCCCGGCCTCCGCGGTGCACTGCGGGGTGCCTGCACGCTGAGGTGTACGTACACCTCAGCGCACAGCGTTGCAGTGTACATACACCGCGCGAGTCCGGCCGTTTCAGTCGGCAGGCAGACCTCCAGGAGGCGGCAAAAAAGAAAGCAAAGGATGATCAGAATTTATAAAACTAAACAAAAGACGAAGAGCACTATTGCCCCGCAAGCAAGGGGGCACACAGCGAGGGCCGCGGCAGCGCAGCAGGTCCGCTAGGGTGGCTGCTGTCAAGCCGTCGCAGCAGCAGCTCCCGCTGCTGCTGCTGCTGCTGCTGCTGTCGCTGCGGGGGCTGTCACTGTCAGTGCCACTGCTGTGGCTGTCGGTCCCGCTGCTGCTGCTGCTGCTGCTGTTGCTGTTGATCTTGCTGCAGCGCGTGCTGCTGCTGTTGCCCTTCACCCGATGGCGGCCCCAGCAGCAGCGCGTTTGCCCACAAGAGCACTTTGGGCGTGCCTGAGAGCCTGCTGCGCTCGCTGCTGCTGCTGCTGCTGCTGCTGCTGCTGCTGCTGCTGCTGGCGGCCGCTCTTGCAGCAGCAGCAGCTGCAGCAGGTGCTGCATCTGCTGCTGGTCCATGTGGCGCAAATGCACGGAGAGGAAGCCCGAAATGACCCACTGCAGCTCCAATGAAGGAAGATGGGGAGCCAAAAACAGCAAATAAGATTTCATTTCTGCACTTCTGAAGCTGGCAGCAAGTGCAGCGTCCTGCGGCTCCGCAGCGGGCTCCCTGAGGTGTCTGTACACCCCAGAACGCTCTGCAGCAGACCCAAACTCTGCAGCAGCTTGCATGCACTGGCGCCTCACCAGCAGCCCCAGCTCGCACTGCTGCTGCTGCTGACGCTCAGCAGCAGGGAGGTAGCGAACTAGGGGCACTCCCCAGGCGTTCAGTGGCTCCCCCGGGCCAGCAGCAGCAGCAGCTGCTGCTGCTGCTGCTGACGGTGGCCTTTCTGCTGCTGCCGCTGCTGCTGCTGCTGCAGGTGAGGATGCGAGCATCATCAGCCGCTTGTGCGCCTCGAAGTGCAGGCGGCCCCCAGGCTTGGCCTCGTAGATCCAGTCATCCGCAGCTGCTGCAGCGTCTGCTGCAGGGGCTGCAGCGGGAGCGGCAGGAGCTGCTGCAGCAGCAGCAGCAGTTGCTGCTGCTGCGTCTTCTCCCCACCGCTGGCTGCCTTTTGCGCCCACGTCGTTTGATGAACATTCTGCCCCCACTGCCTCCTCAAATAACTCTTTTTTTGAATTTATTTTGAGTTTGTTTCCCCTTTTTTCTGCCAAAAGAGTCCCCACAGACTGCTGAGACGAAGAGAAGCAGCAGCTGTCAGCGCACCATTCAAGAACGCGCAGCCCGGCGGGTCGCCAGCTGCGGACCGACAGCAGCCCCGATGATGCCGCTTTCAACATAGGATGAATTAAATTTAATTATTTTATAAATTCTTTTAAACTTGCAAAGATTTAGCAGCAGTAAGACGCGGAAAGAGCCACAAAAAAGACAAGAGCAGCCCAGCACCGGGCCAGCGCGAGCTGCGCGCAAGGCACCGCCTTCGTCATTTATGTCCAGCGTTTCATTATAAATTGAAATGTGTTTGACTTTTTCCAAAAAATTTAAAAAAAAGATTAAAAGCTGGTGGACTGGAGGCTTGGTTGCTCACGGGGCTGGGCTGGCTGCTGCAGCGAAGCTGCTGCGCGTGGTTTGTCTGCATGCAGCGGCTGCCGCGCACTTGGAGCATTTGTTGCTGAGTAATTAGAAGAAGAGGCTGTGGCTTTGTTTTGCGGGAAAATTGGAAGTTGAAATCCTGCAATTATCCGCCTGTAGACTTGACGGAGAGGGCGCCGGTGTGGGGAGCGGGGTGGAGGCACTTGCGCAGCATTTCGAGCGGTTTCCGCGGGCGAACTCGAAAAGCGAGTGGAATTATAAATTATTTGTTTAATTTTGAACATTTTGCGCGCGGAGATCGCGTGGAAGCTGGGAATTTGAGGCAGGTTTCGCGAGGTGTTGGCGCCGACGACGCACAATGACGGAGCCCGCAGTCAGCGTGGAACAGTTCCCCGTGGAGGACTTGTTGAATATTCACCAAATGATATATTTGCCGAGCACTTTGGACTTGCTGGTGAACCATTTGGAAAGGGGAATTGCCGCGGGCGGGGCCTCTCCGGACTTGTGTTCTGCAGTGCTGCGCCTCTACCTGCTTTACCCCCAGTGCGCCAATGCAGAAGTTGTACGCAAGATCCTTGTGCAGACTATAGTGGCTCTTCCGGAAAACCAGTTTGGCTACTACGCCTGCATTGCGCCTTCTCACTTTCCAAACCCCGAAGACGAAAAGAAAGTCCAAGACGTCCTCACTCTCCAGGAGCTCCTCGAAAGCTGCGACTTCAAAGCGGTAACACCGCAGCAGCAGCAGCAGCAGCAGCAGCAGCAGCTACGCCGTTTGCTGCTTATCAAGGCCTGCATATTAGCTAAAATGCTGCTTTGCGTTTCTTGCTTTTGCTGCTTCACGAAGCAGCGCGGCATCCCTGTGCCTGCACGTACACTTGCTGCTGCGCAGCTGCTGCTGCTGCTGCTGCTGCAGCAACGAGCCCGCGTTTGACGGATTTTTAAGCTGCAGGAGTGGTTTTTTTCGGATTTAAGGCTGCTGTTGCTGCTGCTGCTGCTGCTGCATGCGTAGAGGCCGCTGGAGCTGAATAGTTTCTCGTTTTGGGCTTGTGGAGTTTGCTGCAGGCGTGGGCAATGCTGCGGGAACCCGAAATGGCCGACGTGCTGCACACGCCGGGAGTGGTGGAGGCGCTGCGGCGTTATGTGTGCGAAGTGCTGCAGCAGACTTTTTCGACAATTTCTCTGTCGGACTTTTGCCAGCTGCTGAACTTGAACGCAGCAGCAGCAGCAGCAGCAGCAGCAGCAGCAGCAGCCGACGACAAGGTCGAAAAGCTCGTCAAAGCCAGGGGATGGACCATCGAAGATGCTGCTGCTGGCCAAAAGATTGTCCGCATTGTCCCCAGAGAAACAGATGCCCCCAAAGCCCTCGCCACAAGAGCTTCTGTGGCTCACAAAACTGTTGAAAAGTATTTATCTGTCGAAGGCCTTCGCCAGTGCCTCGCGCTCCTCGAGAGCTAGCTCCCCCGCAGCAGCAGCAGCAGCAGCAGCAGCAGCAGCGGCAGCGGCAGCAGCTGACTCGCCGGCAGCAGCCACTCAGCTGCTGCTCCAACGGCAGCTGCAGCGGCTGCGGCAGGAACCGCTGCAGCAGCTGCAGTGGCAGCAGCTGCAGCTGCGGCGGCAGCAGCTGCAGCTGCGGCGGCAGCAACTGCAGCAGGAGCAGCTACAGCAGCGGCAACTGCAGCAGCAGCAAACTGCAGCTGCAGCAGCTCCAGTTTGCTGCTGTAGAGGCGGAAACTCATTTGTTCGTGTCTCAGCCTAGCTCTGTCCTTCGTTTGCTGCTGCGTGAGCTGCTGCTTGAAAGCCACGGGACCCGCATGCAGCTGAACAACTACCTCCTGCTTGCTGCAGCAGCTGCAGCAGCAGCAGACTAGAAGTGCTGCTGCGTGCGTTTAGTTGCAGCAGCTGCTGCAGCTGCAGCAGCTGCAGCAGCTGCAGCAGTAGCGAACTAGAAGTGCTGTTGCGCGTGTTTAGTTGCAGCTGCTGCAGCAGCAGCTGCAGCAGCAGCAGCTGCAGCAGCAGCAAACTAGAAGTGCTGCTGCGTGCTGCTAGTTAAATACAAATTAGGAAGCAGTTGGTCTCTGCAGAAATCAACAAATGCCTCCAGGCAGCTCCCCTCTAGTCTGCTGCTCTCTTGGCCGCACAAGCCGCAGAGACAGAAGCAAAATGGGGCCAAAGGCACATCAGCTGCAGCGCGTTGCTGCTGCTGCAGCACGAGCAGCAGCGCGCTGCGAGGTTCTGCTGCTGCTGCTGCTGCTGCACGAGGCGCCGTCGTCGCAGCAGCAGCAGCTCTTGCTGCGGGGAAAAAAGGCTTTATTTAGGAGCCCAAACTACAAGCATTGTCCCTCTCCTGCTCCTGCTGCTGCTCCTGCTGCTGCTCTTGCTGCTGCTGCTGAGACAGCCCGAGGGCTTCTACAGTTGTCTGCAAGCACAGCTGCACCTCCCGCCGTAAGCAGCTGCAGCGCAGCAGATGCAGCAGCAAAAGCGCAGCACCAGCAGCAGAGAGCTCTCAAGACAGCAATTAATGCATAGCAGCAGCGGCAGCAAGTCGCAGCAGCAGCAGCACGTCGCAGCAGCAACAGCATTCTGTCTCAGCAGCAACAGCAGCAGCAGCAAAGGCCTACGCGTCATCGCACGTGACCAGCGAGACAAGCTTTGGCATTAACAGCAGCAGGTGCGCCTTGCTGCCTGCAGCACAGCAGCGCAGCAGCACAGCAGCGCAGCAGCACAGCAGCGCAGCAGCACTGCTGTACAGAGGCATCTAAGTATAAAAAATAATCAAAACCAAACTAGGGAAGCTGCACATAGAAGCTGCAGCAGAGCCGAAGGGCAGCAACAGCAGCAGCAGGCCTAAGAAGAAGCAGCAGCATTCCATCCTGCGGTTGCTGCTGCTGCTGCGCTACGACCACGGCCACCGCCGTGGCGGCAAAGCAGCTCGCCCCGCAACAGCTTGCACAGCAGCAGCAGAGGCAGCAGCAGCAGCAGCAGAGGCAGCAGCAGCAACAGAGGCAGCAGCAGCAGTAGAGGCAGCAGCAACAGCAGAGGCAGCAGCAGCAGCAGAGGCAGCAGCAGCAGCAACACACCTGCAAGCTGCATCAGCAGTGAAACGCTTGGACGGGAGCTCTGCGGATTCGCAGGAGCAGCACACTGGAGTGTACGTACACTTGAAAACACGAAAGCCAGCAGACGCGGGTCCACAGCCCCTCCCTGCGAGCAGCAGCAGCAAATAAGCAGCGAGACAAAACCAAATAAAGTGAAAAGCATGCACTAAGCTGCTGCTGCTGCTGCTGCACGTGTTGTTGCTGCTGCTGCTGTAGCTTCTGCTGTTGGTGCTCCCGCTACCGGCCTCGGAGCTGCAGCTGTTGCCGCTGCTGTTGCTGAGGGTGCTGCTGCTGCTGCTGCTGCTGTTGTTGCTGCTGCTGCAAACGAACCTCGGGGCCATCACGAGCTGCGTCTGCGTACGCTCTGACGACTCTGTCACACTCCTGCAGCAGCAGGGGCAGCAGGAACTCTTGCCTTGCTGCAGCAGCTGCTGCAGTTGCTGCTGCTGCTGCGTCACTTCCCTCTGCATGAGCCTCCTCCGGGCTGCGCGCTTCACATACCCGGAAGAACCTGGAAGCAGCACAACAGAAGGCGGCAGCAGCTGCTGCAGCAGGTCTCAGCCGCAGCGAGCAGCACTGCTGCAGCAGCAGCCACTGCAGCAGCAGCCACTGCAGCAGCGGCTCAACGGTCCACTGCTGTTGCACTGCAGCAGATCACGGTGTATGTACACTTCAAGTGGGGCAAACGCTTACAAAGAAAATGCCTCTTGGGCAAAAGTTGACGGAGCCCGCATGTCAGTGCAGGCTAGCTGCAGCACCGAAGCCTGAAGCAGCAGCAGCAGCAGCAGCAGCAGCAGCAGCAGCAGCAGCAGAAGCAGCCCAGCTCAGCGCCATGATGTGTTGAAACCCTGGCGAGCTAAGCAGCAACAGCAGCTGCCGATGTTGCTGTTGCTGCTGCTGCTGCTGCTGACTAGGGAGGAAGGGTGTCTTACGAGGTCGGCCAGAGTGGCGGTAGACCACGGGTGCTGCTGCTGCTGCTGCAGCACCGTGGCAGCAATCCGCAGCACCCATCGCCGCAGCAAGACAACCTCTGGACTGTCACAGAGTTGCTGCTGATGCTGCTGCTGCAGCTCCTGCTGCACGTGCTGCACTTGCTGCTGCACCTGCTGCAGCTCTTGCAGCAGCTGCTGCAGCGTTTGCTGATTGCTGGGGCTGCAAGCGTACGGGGGCGGAGGCGGCTGCTGCGGGAAGAGCTGCTGCTGCTGCTGCTGCTGCTGCTGCAGATACAGCTCGCTTGCTGCAGCACTGGGAAGAAAGGAAGGGGTGCTAAATGGTTGCGGCAGATGCGCTGCAGAGCAAAAGCCCCCCAAATCCTAAACCCTAGACCCTGAACCCTGAAACCTAAACCCTAAACCCTAACCCCCAAACCCTAAACCCTCGATCCCAAGCCCCTAAAACAGCAACTCGCGGAGACTGCATGAGGCATAAAGGGCTAAGTGTCTCCTCACTTTGAACAGCATTTAGCTGCTGATGTTTGTGCAGAAGTTGCTGTAGCTGCTGCTGGCGTTTGTGGAGCTGTAGCAGCTGCTGCTGCAGCTGCTGCTGCTGCTTCTGCTGCTGCTGCAGCGAGCCGTGGTCATCCGTAGCTAGCTGCAGCAGCGCAGAGCTGACTGAGCACCACAACACCTCCAGAGTGTCAGGCGAGACAAGTAGTTTAGCTGCTGCTGCTGCTGCTGCTGCTGCAGCATCTTCACACAGAGTGCATGCAGCTTGTGCTGCCAGAGCCCAAAAACCAACTGACTTCAGCCGCGGGTCTTGGCGGGTAGCAGCAGCAGCAACAAAGTGCTGCAGCACCAGAGGCACGCAGTTTAGGACAGCATCTAGGGCTGTTCTGCTGCTTCTGCTGCTGTTGCTGGTGCCCCGTTGCTGCTGCTGCTGCTGCTGCTGCTGCAGGTCTGCATGCATTGCTTTGATGATGGCTATACGGAAAAACTGCAGCAGCAGCAGCAGCGCCGAGCTGCCCAGCGCAAGACTCAGCGAGTCCCCGAAAAGCCGCCGCAAGTTCAGCAGCACCCGGCAAATCTGAAACACACAGCGCGGCGCAGCAGCAGCAGCAGCAGCAGCAGCAGCAGCAGCCGTAAGGCAACCGGCAAGCGAGCCGCAGGAGCTTGAACGCAGCAATACTACGGACATACCGAGTGCTAAGCCAGCAGGGAAACAGCAGCCGCAGCAGCAGCAGCAGCAGCAGCAGCAACGGCTAACCTCCTCCAGAAGGCAAGGCAGGACATCTTCATTTGGGGCTGCATGCGCAGTCGGCAGCAGCTGCAGCAAACGCCCGCAGGTCATTAGCTGGAGGCTCGTGAGGCGGAAGGAGCAGCAAAAGGGCAGTTCATCTTTCAAGCATGCAGCGGCATCAGCAGCACTAGCAGCAGCCGCTGCAGCAGCTGCTGCTGCTGCTGAGCCCTCTTCTGATTCTCCAGCAGCTGCAGCGTCCGTTAATGCTGCGCTTGCTGCTGCTGCTGCTCCCAACGGGGAGAGAGCTGCTGAAGCTGTTTGCTGCAGGGGTAAGAAGCGGCGCAAGTCAATTCGCTGTCTCATCTCGTCCAGCATGGCTGCTGTTGGTGCAGCAGCAGCAGCAGCTGCTGCTGCTGTTGCGGCTGCTGCTGCTGCTGTTGCTGCTGCAGGTGTGCTGCTCGTGCTGCTGCATGCGGTGCTGTCGGGCTCAAATGGGTTCGTTGACTTCACGTGCTGCGGAGAACCTGCTGATCCTCGGGGGCTGCTGCTGCTGCAAGCAGCAGCAGCAGCAGATGCAGCGGCAGCTGCTGCTGCAGCGTGCTGCTGCAGTCGCAAGCACGAAAAGCCGAGCTTCAGGCTGTCACCGTTACGTTTGCTGCTGCAGCTGTTTCGCCTAGCTGGCCCTGCTGCGCCTTGCACTCCCTGCACAGGCGGCAGGTGCAGCAGGAGCTGCTGCTGCTGCTGCTGCTGTTGCTGCTGCTGAGACCCCACAAGCAGCCTGCAGTCTGCTGCAGCAGCAAACTCCATGACGCTGCTACGAACAACCGCCCAAGAATACCAAGGCCCCTCTGTAGCAGTGCGTGCTGCTGCGTGCCACTCTTGCTGCTGCTCCTCTTGCAGCAGCGGCAGTTGCTGCTGCTGCTGCTGCTGCTGCGCCTGCTGCTGCGGCTGCTCCTGCTGTGGGGTCTCTGGAGAAGTACTGGTCCCTGCAAAGCGAAGACAGCCACCAAACCCTCCCTTAGCCTTGAAGCAGTGCAGGGTTTAGGGTTTAGGGTTTAGGGTCTACAGAGAACCGGGTCACCGGCGCTCCTGTGAGCGCAGCTGCAGCAGCAGCAAGGAATGAGGCAGCCAAAGCACTGCAGCAAAAGCAGCAGCAACAGCAGCAGCAACAACAACAGCAGCAGCAGCAGCAGGGCTGACCAGTGGTCTCTGCAGCAGGCGGCAAGGCAAGGGGAGTTGCATGACGAGAAAAGAGAGAAGGCGAAGTCAGCAGCCCCAGCGCGAGCTGTACAGACACCGCGTGCTCCACTGACCCAGTCGTCACTGCCGCTGCTGCTGCTGCTGCTGCTTCTGCAGCAGCAGCTGCTGCAGGGGCTGCTGCTGCTGCTGCTGCTGCCGCTGCTGCGCGTCGTGCAGAAGCGAACTCCAGCAGCTCCAAAAGAGAAGACATGACGGCCTCTGCCTCTTGGGCCCCGAGTGAGCTCCGCTGCAGCAGCAGCAGCAGCTGCTGCTGCTGCTGCTGCTCGGGGGTGCTTGCTTGCTGCAGTGCACTTAATGGCGGCAGCAGGTTCCTCGCGAGCTGCCAGTACACTGCCCAACCCATCATCCACAATGTCGTTGTTCCTTCCGTTTCACTGCCGTTGATGCTGCTGCTGCTGCTGCTGCTGCTGCTGCTGCTGCTGCTGTCCGCGAGGTCCTCGACAGCAGCAAACGAAGAGCGACGGTATAGTTGGTGCAGAGTCTCCAGTGGGACCTAAGGCAGCAGCAGCAGCGGCGGCAGCAGCAGCAGCAGAATGGCTACCCAGCGGCAGAATGAAAGAAAGCCTGGCTGGCTCTAGCGCCTGCATATGAAGCAGCAGCTACAGCAGCAGCAAATAAGCAGCAGCAGCTGCTGCTGCATGCAGCAGCCCGACATGTAACCGCCAAGACGACCATTAAAGCCAATGGACAGCAGCAGAAGCAAGCAGGAGACAGTCCCAGCAGCAACAGCAACAGCAACAGCCGCCCGGCAGACCGTAGGAAGCAGCAACAGCAGCAAAATGGGATGTGATAAAAAGCAGCAGCGCGAAAGAGCAAGAGAGGCAGCAGCAGCACAGTAGCAGCAGCAACAGCAGCAGCAACAAAAGCACCAGCACCAACAGCACAACAGAAGCAGCAGCAGCAAAGCAGCAGCAGCAAAGCAGCAGCAACAGCAGCAGAAGCAACAGCAGCAGTAACAGCAGCAGCAACAGCAGCAGCAGCAACAGCAGCAGCAGCAGCAATCCCTTACAGGCGCAAATGATACGCTGAGGGTCAGAGTGTCTTCAAGAGCTCGATTTGCTGCCAGCAGCAGCTCGGGGGGAGGCGAATTTGCTGTTTGTGTTGCTGCTTGGATCGAGAGCAGCAGCGCAGCAGCAGACTCAACTATGACGTCTACGATTTCGCGCTGCTCATTGAGCTGCTGCGCTTGTTGCTGCTGCAGCTCTTGCTGCTGCTGCTGCTCCTGCTGCTGCTGCTGCTGCTGCAATGCGCCAGCGTAGTGCAGCAGAAGCACACGCACCCCATCCACAGCAATCACAAGTGTCTCTGCCCACTGTTTCGCCTCCGTGTCGCTGCTGTTGCTGCTGCTGCTGGTGCTCCTGCTGCTGTTGTTGCTGCTGCTGCTGCTGCTCTCGCCTCGCCGCAACGCCAGCTTAATATAAGCGCCGCAAACATCCAACAAGGTCGTGGTCAGGATGCGGGAAACGCACCTGCAGCAGCAGCAGCAACAGCAGCAGCAAAATCATGCCACAATTCGAGCCAGGGTGCAACAGCAGCATCTTTGCTGCTGCTGCTGCAGAGAAGCTCTAGTTGCTCTAGTCTGCGGCTCCATAGGCACTTTACTTTTGCCGAGAACTGTTTCCCTCCGCAGCAGCAGCAGCACCGTCAGCAGCAGCAGCACATGCAGCAGTCGCAGCAGCACTGTGGGCAGCAGCAGCAGCAGCAGCAACAGCAGCAGCAGCAGCTGGTACCTCAGTGCATGCGCTTGCTGCAGCGACAAGGGGCAGGAGCGCAGCGCGGCAATTAGACTGCGCAAAGAGCAGTGCCGCAGCTCTGGCCTTTTGTCTGTGGCCAGTTGACTTAAGTGTAAGAATGTCTGGGAAGTTAGCAGCTCCTCCACTGCCTGCTGCTGCTGCTGCTGCTGCTGCTGCTGCTGCTGCTCTTGCGTCAGCCACAGAGGCTCGAAAGCGCGCAGGTGGGATGCCAGCTGCAGGCCGCAGAAAGCCGTGTCTGCTGCATCGTCTGCTGCTTGTGCTGCTGCTCGTGGGCCTGCTGCTGCTTCGTTTGCTGCAGCAGCCGGCGCTGCCCCGGCTTCGGCCTTGTCTTCTGCTGCAGCAGCAGCAGCAGCAGCATTTTTCTTTCGGCGAGACTTTCCTAAGAAGTCCGTGAGGGACCAAAGAAGGCCAATGCATCTGTATGCGAAGCAAGAAGCAAAGCCCGCCGACAGATCTGCCGTTCCAGCTGCTGCTGCTGCTCCTGCGTCGCTGCTGCTGCTGCTGCTGCTGCTGCTCTCCTCGGAGCTCGCCAGCGCCGCCACAGCTGCTGCCAAGACATGCGTCAGTCGCTGCAGCAAAGGCATACTCGCGAAACAGAATAGTCAAAAGCAGCGGCACTTGCGCAGCAGCAGCAACAGCAGCAGCAACAGCAGCAGCAGCAGCAACAGCAGCAGCAGCAGCAACAGCAGCAGCAGCAGCAACAGCAGCAGCAGCTCACATGCATCGGGATTTCCTCTCCGTAGTCATGCACTATGAGCTCCGCCAGGGCGAGAAGTTCCCTGCGCTCTGCGCTGCAGCCTGGGGTCTGGATTAGCTGCTTGCTGCTGCTGCTGCTGCTGCAGCAGTTCGTGCTTCTGGCAGCAGCAACTGCAGCAACAACCGCATGCAGCTCGCGCGGCACCTGCAGCGAGGCCCAGGCGCCTACTGCAGCAAGAACCAGCAGCCACGCCTTAGGCCGCAGCAGCTGCCCCTGTGTCTGCAGCAGCTGCTGCAGCGCGCGAAGAGCAGCAAAACGAGACACGCCATTTGCTGAGGCCAGCAAGCTGCAGAGGCACTGCAGCGCGACGCACTGCAGCTCGGACTCTGCTGCTGCTGCTGCTGCAGCAGCGGCGGCGCTCTCTTCCGGACAAGCAGCAGCAGCAGCTGCTGCTGCTGCTGAGCAGCAAGCACCCATTTCAGGCAGCAGCACCTGCAAACTGAGACACAGACACCTCACAGTGTCTGCTCTTGCTGCTGGGCTTAGCTGCGGCGCGTCAGCAAGAGCAGCAAAAGTGAGGGCAGCACTTTCCTCCTCATCTGCTGCTGCTGCTGCTGTTGCTGCTGCTGCTGCGGGGGAGCCGTCAAACAGCAGCAGCACGCGGTCGATGTTGTAGAGCAGCAGCAGCAGCAGCCGCCGCCAGCACGGCGGCAGCAGCAGCGCTTCGCTGGCGCAGCAGCTGCTGCTGCTTCTGCTGCTGAGCCTTTCCGCCCTGGGGCCAATGAAGGGCTCCAGCGAATTGCTGCTGCAGCCCTGCCAGGTTGCTGTTGCTGCGCTGCCTGTTGCTGCTGCTGCTGTTGCTGCTGCACTTGCAGAAATTGCTGCTGCACACCCAGATATCTGGCAAGGCCCTCCTTTGCTGCAGCAGCAGCGGTCTGCGGTGTCCTGCTGCTCCTGCTGCTGCTGCAGCAGGCCGAAGCCTGCTGGCGTGTCTGCTGCTGCTGCTGCTGCACCTGGAACGGAGGAGTACGCCTTCAGCAGCAGCAGCAGCGTGTGCTTTGCATGCGCCTGCAGCGCGCAGCGCAGGCCTTCTGTGCTCAGGTGTCTCGACACCAAACCAAAAGCAGCAAGTTCGCCCATACCAGCAGCAGCAGCAGCAGCAGCAGCAGGTAAGGAAGAGGAAGAAGGGGATGCTGGCTGCTGCTGCGCGCTGCTGAAGCTGCTGCTGTCAAGGGCGGCTACGCCTTGAAGAGCCGGGGGGCAGGCTGAGGAAGCAGCGGATACAGCAGCAGCAGCAGCAGCAGCTGCTGCTGCTCCTGCTGCCTGCTCGCTAAGCCCCAAGCCCCTCCAGTAAGCTGCTGCTGCTGCTGTCGCCTCGTCGGCCTCACGCTCTGCTGCTTCTGCTGGATCTTTAAAGGCGGAAGGCAAGCTAAAACTGCTGGAAAGCAGCGGCCCTACTTGTTGCCGCTGCTGCTGCTGCTGCTGCTGCTGCTGCTGCTGCTCGGCAAGCTCTGGCGGCAGCTCCTCAAGGGCTCTGAGGCACAGCAGCCAACAAGAAGGAGACAGCAGACTGCCTAGATTGGAGACGACGGCAAACAGGAAGACACGAGCAGCAGCAGCAAGCTGCGACACCTGCTGCTGCTGCTGCGGCAGCACCTTGCTGCCGCTGCTGCTGCCGGAGCTGCTGCTGCCGTTTTTGCTGTCGCTGCGCCTGCCAAACAGCCACGTCAAGGCTTCGGAGCCACTTAGGCCTAGAGAGGCAGCAGCGCCCCCAGCAGCAGCAACAACGGCTGCTGCTGCTGAGGTGCTGCTGCTGTTGCTGCTGCTGTTGCTGCTGCTGCTGCGCTGCATGTGGGGGCTGCTGTCCGATGCAGCAGCAGGAGCAGCAGCGCTGCCCATTGCAGCATACAAACAAAAGCGAGCCACTGCATGCAGCACTGCAGTGCATGCAGCAGCAATACGGAGGAGGCAGCAGACGAGCAGCAGCTGGTAGCAGCAGTTAAGCAGGGTGCTTGTTGCTGCAGCAGCAGCCACTTGCCGCTGCCACGCCGACGCAGCGTCCCTCTTGCTGCTGCTGCTGCTGCTATTGCTGCTGCTCGTTGCTGCCTGCAAAGTGAGAGACACATGAGCTGTCAGCAGCAGTCCCAAAGCAGACACAAGAGGGCTCCAGCAGGCTGCAGCAGCAGCGCAGCAGCAAGCTTGGTGCTGCGTGAAAGGCAGGTCCAGTGGCTGCTGCAGCAGCCGCCTTTGCTGCAGCTCCGAGTCCGCTCCAGCAGCAGCAACCGCAGCAACTGCTGCAGCAGGAGGCGCAGCAGCAGCAGCTTCCAAGGTTGCAGCAAGCAGCGCCTCCACAGAGAGCAGCAGCCCCGACAGAGACACATGCAGCAGCCGCGAGCGAGACACAGCAGCAGCAGCAGCTGCTGCTGCTGCTGCTTCGTCTTCTGGGGAACCCAGTGCAGCGCAGCACTCCAGCAGCCGCGGCGCTGTGTTCCACACGGCGCCCCCAGCAGCAGCAGCAGCAGCAGCAGCAGCAGCAGGCTCAGCAGCTGAAGTCTTGCTGCTGTTGCTGCTGCTGCTTTTCGCTCGCTGCAGCTCCCGAGAGCCAAACCCAATGGAGCTGAAAGAGCCGTGCCGTGCTGCTGCGGGAGACTGCGTTGCAGCAGCTGCTCCCGCTGCTGCTGCTGCTGCTGCTGCTGCTGCTGCTGAGGGGCCCGCAGCGCTTCTACGCGGGCTGCTGCTTCGGCTGCTGTTGGTGCTGCTGCTGTTGCTCAGGAGAAAAGCAGCATCGTGAGGCAGCGCCACAGGCCGCATCTTGCTGCTGCTGATGCTGCTGCTGCTGCTGCTGGTGTCGCTGCTGCTGCTGCTGCCGGAGGGAGGCAGCGCAAGCCAGAAGCCTGCTGAAGCTCTCCTTGCTGCAGCAGCAGCATCTCGGATTGCACCCATCGCTGTGTGGACACCTGAGCCTTGTTGTTTTGCTGCTGCTGCAGCAGCAGCAGCATCGGGGCAAAGCTGGAGGGCGTCTCTGTGCAGCAGCAGCAGCAACTGCTGCTGCTCTGCAGCAGACGCGAAGCAAATCTGATGAACTGTGCGGCTGAAGGTCTCGAGGATTTGGGCCAGCAGGCGGCGCTGGGGAGGCCGAGGTGCGGCTGCTGCTGCTGCTGGTGAGTCTGCTGCTGCTGCTGCTGCTGCTGCTGCTGCTGCTGCTGGTGCAGCAGAGCTGTCAGGCGCGTCTAGCTGCAGCAGCAGCACCTTGTCGCTGCAGCAAACTGCCAGCGCCTCAAGGGCTACTGCCCTGACCCAATCTGCTGCTACGTCAGCTAGCCGCTGCAGCAGCAGCAGCAGCGACACAGCCTGCTGCTGCAGCAGCGGGAAGTACATGTAAACCAGCTGTACCACGAGCCTCACTGCGCGCAGCAGCACGGGCTTCTCCTGCTGCTGCTGCAGCAGCTGCTGCTGCAGCGTGGGGCACAGCTGCTGCTGCAGCAGCTGCAGCAAACCAGGCAGCAGCAGCGGCAACGAAGGATGCTGCAGCAAAACGCGGCTCCACAAATGGAGACAAACAGAAGGAGACAAAGACAAGTCCCCCAGCCACGCTGCTGCAGGAACAAGTCTGCTGCTCCTGCTGCTGCTGCTGCTGCTGCTGCTGCTGTTTGCTGCATCCGCCTTGCAAGATTGCATCAGCACCTGAGTCAAATCCTCAAGAAGGTGCAGCAGAGCCCTCCCTGCGCGGCCCGGCTGCTGCTGCTGCTGTTGCTGCTGTTGCTGCTGCTGCTGCTGTTGCTGCTGTTGCTGCTGCTGCTGCTGTTGCTGCCGCTGCTCAAAGCTCACGGTGGCTTCTAGCGCGTTGCTGCTGGTGCTGCTGCTGCTTGGAAGGAACTCAACTGAGTGCAAGCCATTCTCACCCTGCTGCTGCTGCTGCTGCTGCGGTTGCTGCTGCTGCTGCTGCTGCTCAAGAAACGCGCCCCCCACAAGGCAGCTGATGAGCTGCTCTAGGCCTGCGCAGGCGCCGTGGAAGAGGGGAGTATTTGTGGCTGCTGCTGCTGCTGCTGCTGCTGCTTTGGAGTGGCCAGCAGCAGCGGAAGCAGCAGCTGCAGCAGGCGCAGCAGCAGCAGCAGGAGCTGTTGCTGCTTTAATCAGCCAAACAAACAAACGGGCCAGCCGATGCACAACAGCAGCATCAGCAGCAACCCGTGCTTCAGGTGCTGCCACCAGCAGCGCCACCTGCAGCACGCGGATCCTCAGCTGCTGCTGCTGCTGCGGCTGCTGCTGCTGCGCTTGCTGCAGCAAGTCCTCCAGCACCGACACGAGCAGCAGCACGTCCGAAGCTGCTGCTTCCGTGGCAGCAGCAGCAGCATCTGCGTCTGCAGCAGGCTCCTCATGCAGAGGGGACTGCTGCAGCGTCGACGGCGCCTGCTGCTGCTGCTGCTGCTGCTGCTGCGGGTGGGGCGTCATCAGCAGCCGCCGCTGCAGGTGCAGCAGCAGACACCGCAGCAGGTTTGCTGCTCCCAGCAGCAACTTCATACTCTCAGTTCTTGCTGCATCTCTTGCAACAAGCACCATTTCTCTGACGGGGAAGGCAGCCAGGAGGCTTGCTGCTGCTTCTGCTGCTGCTTGCTGCTGCTGCAGCGCTGCTGCTGCTGCTGCTGCTGGCTCCTGCGAAGCTGCTGCTGCAGACCGCTGCGCTGCTGCAGCCAAGACCGGCAGGCCTTCGCTCAGCCTGTCCATGTGCTGCTGCAGCAGCGCAATAGCAGCAACACAGGAGTCATGCAACCTGCTGCTGCTGCTGCTGCTGCTGTACTTCTTCTTGCTGTCCTGCAGCAGCGCCGTCAGCTCCTTCTCCACAGCGCAGCAAGCCTCTAGCGCGGCCTCACGCAGTTCGTTCCACGGAAATTGAGCTGCTGCTGCTGCTGCTGCTGCTATTGCTGTTCTTTCTGCTGCTGCTGCTGCTGCTGCAGGTGCCGGCGCCGCAGCTGCTGCCGGGCCATCGAGGGCCCCAGCAGCAGCAGCAGGCGGATCTAGAGCCGCAGCAGCCGCATCTATACCTCCCGGTGATGAGTTTGCAGCAGCAGCAGATGCTGCTGCTGCAGTTGCTGCAGTTGCTGCTGCTGCCGGTGGGTCGTCCAGTGTGCTTACATGAGCAGGCGGCGGCTCTGCAGCGCTATCTGCTGCTGCTGCTGCTGCCGTCATTGTTGCTTGGAGACCATGTTGTTCCTTGGCTGCTGCTGCTGCGGCGGCGAGTTTTGCTGCACTGCTGCTGCTATCTCCGCTGCAGCTGCTGCTGTCGCTGCTGCGGCTGCTGCTGACGAGCTCCGGGTCGAGCTGCAGCAGCAGCTTCTCCCCTGGTCTTGTGGAGCAGCTATTTGGCTGCACACCCGTTCATTCCGCTGTTCTGCTGCTGCTGCTGCTGCTGTTGCTGCGGATGGCCTGCTCGCTGCAGCGTGTTGCAGCGAAACTGCAGCAAGACCTAACCTTGAGCAGCAGACGCGGCAGCTGGAGCAGCAGCAGCAGCGCAGCGCTGTGGTGTCTGACTGAGGCTTAAGAACTACATAGAAGTTGCTGCTGCCGGGCGAAAGAAGTCATTGAGCTATTTGCTGCAGCAACAGCAGCAGGTCTTGCTGCTGCAGCCCCAGTCGCAGCTTTGGCAGCAGCAGCAGCAGCTGCTGCTGCTGCTGCAGCGGCCTCGTCGGCAGCAGCATCGCAGCCGCAGCAGCTGCTCCTTGGCTAACGTGAAATTTGTGACTGGAAATGAAGATAAAAGGGATCAGTTGAGCCCGACGCTGCAGGAGACACAGCAGCAGAAGCAGCAGCAAGACCTGCAGCAGTTGGTGCCAGCAGCAGCAGCACAAGCAACGGCAGCTTCAACCGCAGCAGCATTGCAGCTCCATGAGCAGCACTATGCGATTTTTTGTTAGCTTTTTGTGGCTACACCTATAGACAAGGTAAAGGCTGCTGTAGCAGCAGCAGCAGCAGCGGGAGCGGCAGCGGCAGCTGCTGTAGCGGCGACTGCAGCAGCAACTGCTGCTGCAGCACTAGCAACGGCTCCAGCAGCGGAAGCTGCTGCAGCACTAGCAGCCACTCCAGAAGCAGCAGCAGCAGCAGCGGCTGCTGCGCCACTAGCGGCATCCCCAGCAGCAGCGTGAACAGCAGCTGCTGAGGCACTGAAAGCAACTCCAGCAGCAGCGGCAGCAGCAGCGGCAGCAACAGCGGCAGCAGCAGCCGCTGCAGGAGCAGCAGTGGAAATACCGCAGATGTTTCCCACGCGCTCTGCGGCAAACCTGGAGCTCACTGGGGAGCAGCAGCAGCAGCAGCAGCAGCAGCAGCAGCAGCAGCAGCAGCAGCAGCGGGGCCGGCTGGTTTGCATAGAATGCGGGGCGCCGGTGGACTGCATCTACCGGGCCTTCCCTCCTGGCTCTGACAACATCCGTTTGGTTTGCTGCAGCAGCTGCAGCAAACTGGCAGACCCTTATCTGCAGCACGACTCGCTGCTGCTGTCGCTGGACTTGCTGCTGCACAAGCCCCAGGTGTACAGACACCTGCTCTACAACCGCAAACCCCACACCAGAGGAGTAGTGCCCCACAGCATTATTAAGTTTACAATTGCATGCGTTTTCTTTGACGCTTATTTGGAGTGGTTTTTGCTGCACTCCCCGCAGCAGCAGCAGCAGCAGCAGCAGCCGCAGCAGCAGCAGCAGCGAGAGCAGCGCGCCGACGCCGACCACGCCGGCTTCAGCAGCAGCAGCAGCAGCTGCTGCTGCTGCGAGAGTGACGGCCCCCCGGCTGCGTGCGACCAGCAGCAGGATGTGCCCGCTGCTGCTGTCGCTGCGGAGCTGCAGCAGCAGCAGCAGCAGCAGCTGCTGCAGCAGCACAAACAGAACCGAAGCAGGAGCGCCTTCAAGCGCCCGTCCGTGCTAGCTTTGCTGGCATGCGGCTTTGCTGCTGTTTTCTCCCCGAGTAGCAAGTACTGCAGCAGCAGCAGCAGCAGCAGCAGCAGCAGCAACTTAGTTCATAGCTGTCACATCGCAGCCGACAGTCGCCCGCTGCTGCTGCAGGAGAACTACCACAATGTAGCAGCAGCAGCAGCAGATAGCGCCCTCGACGAGTCTGAGGACTGGGAGGGCTTCCGCTGCAGCAGCAGCAGCAGCAGCAGCAGCAGCAGCAGCAGCGTGGGCGAGGGGAACACAAGGGATTCATTTTGGTGCTCTTCTCCGCAGCTGGAGGACCAGCAGCAGCAAGAGCAGCAGGAGCAGCAGGAAGAGGAGGACGAGGAGGACGACACTGAGCAGCAGCAGCAGCAGCAGCAGCAGCAGCAGCAGCAGCAGCAGGGGCTGTGGGGCCCGGGCGAAGCAGCCCTGGGGGAGCCCGCTCTGGGGTGGCTGCTGTCTTCTTCAACAGCAGCAATTGAGCAGCAGCTGCTCGTGCTGCTGTCTTCTGCTTCCGAGTTGTTTTCTTTTCTGGGCACTGCTGTGCTGCTGACGCGGCTTTACGTGGCCTTCCGACGCAGGCGCAACAAAGCTGCTGCTGCTGCTGCTGCTGCTGCTGCTGCTGCTGCTGAGGCGGCGGCAAAGGGCGCGCCGACGGCGGCAGCAGCGCCAGCAGCGGCACTAGCAGCACCCGCCGCAGCAGCAGCGCCAGCAGCAGCAGCGCCAGCAGCAGCAGCAGCAGCAGCAGCAGCAGCAGCGCCAGCAGCAGCAGCAGCAGCAGCAGCAGCAGAGGGGGAGGAGTTCGAACTGGGAGTGCTGCTGACTGCGCTGGGGCTTTCTTTGTACAGCAAATTGGGCACGCTGCTGATAATGGCCTGGCAAGAAGCTTTGCTGCTGCGGCATTGTGTTGCACTTTTTTCTTTGAGCAGCAACGCAGTGGCACTTTATGTTTTTCTTTTTCCTGCTCATCCTGCTGTTGGTTTGTTGATTGCTGCTGCTGCTGCAGCAGCAAGAGCGGCGGTCCGCGCCTTCTTCTGGGTCCTGCTGCAGCAGGCCATTCCCGCTGCTGCTGCTGCTGCTGCTGCTGCTGCTGCCCACGAAACCACCCTAGACCGACTCATTAGGCTCTTTATTTGAATACTTTTGTCTCTTTTGTTTATTTCCAATCAACTATTTGTCCTTTTCTAATCTTTCCACAATTTCCGCAAAAGCCCCACTTCTGGAAGCACTATTTGCTGCTTGCTGCTGCTTGCTGCTACTTGCTGCTGCTGCTGCTGCTTGCTGCTGCTGCTGCTTGCTGCTTGCTGTTGTTTGCTGCTGTTTGCTGCTTGCTGCTAGCTGCTGTTTGCTGTTTGCTGCTGTTTGCTGCTTGCTGCTGCTGCTGCTGCCTCTCCGTGCATGCAGCGAACGCAGCGCTTCTCCTTGCTGCTCCTTTTGTTGAAATTTGAATTTTAAATTATTTAATTTTAATTTTAGTTTTTAAAATTAGAATTAAATATTTATTTTTAAATTAAAAACGGGACCCAAAAGGCCATCGAAACTGACAGCAAATTGCTGCGAAAAGCTGCAGCAGCTACCACCGGCTTTCTGCTCGCAGAAGCTCAACTTAAGCAGCAGTTGCTGCTGCTGCTGCTGCTGCTGCTGCTGCTGCTGCCTGCAGCTCAGCCCCTGTGCTGCGCGTGGTTAAGCAACGAGTGCTGCTGTTGCTGCCTGCAGCGCAGCCTCTGTGCTGCGAGCGGAAGCACAAGTTTAGCAGCAGCAGCTGCTGCTGTTGCTGCTGCTGCCTGCAGCAACTCAATGCAGCTTTGCTGCAGCAGCAAAGCCACTGCGGTCTGGCAACTCAGTGCAGAAATTGTGGCGAGAAGGTTTGAAAGTGCAGCAGCAAAAACTTTTGAAACTTTGCTTCTGAAGGGCCCCACAAGTTCTTTTTGTTTCTGTTTTTTTATTTTTGAAATTAACTTTTTTGACATTAAAATGCCTTTCTTGCAGTCCCGCCTTCATGAAAAATGAAAAAAAACAAATTTATTTTGTTGGATTTGTTTTGGGATCTCGAAGCACAAATTTCCAATTCAAATGGCCAAGTCTTCCTTAAAAACAAATGCATGCATGTATGCATGCATCTGTGCATGCATGCATGCATGCATGTATGCATGCATGCATGCATGCATATATGTGCATTTTATACGTTTTTTGCAGAAAAGCCATTTATACGCATTTTAATTTAATGTATTTGTTTGCATTGAGGCCATTACATGCATATATATACAGAGTTAATATACTTTTATTTGTATTGAGGCTTTATATCTTTATATATATATATATATGTAAAGATATATGCATATTATTTAACTCATTATTATCTGTAAAGAGAGCATTTACACATCTTATATATGTAAATATATTACGTATGAGAAAAAGTACATTTAAAATAAATATAAAATATATTTATTTGCACAGAGTCCATTGGTGTGCAAAAGTACTTTTAAAAGGATGCTCGTCTGTACATACACCTGGAAAAGCAGCAAAGATAGGTGTCTGGCGGATTTGCAAAAAAAGGCATTTTTAAGAAAAAGAACATTAAGAAGAATTAAAATATATAAATATAATATAAATATAATATAAATATAATATAAATATAATATAAATATAATATAAATATAATATAAATATAATATTTCATATTTGTGTTTATTTTATTTACGCGGGACAAATAGTGAAAAGCATGCAGAGATTTGGGGTGTATGTACACTCCATGCACTTGTGTACAGGAAAGCGCACAAAGCAGAATTTGAAATTTAAAAAGAATAAAAACTTAAAAGAACAACTTTTGAAACTAAGTAGACTTTTGCATGCATGCAGGTTATATTATTTCCACTTAATCGATTTTCTTTTATTTCTACAATGAAGAGTTTTCCTTTGAACGCCAAATTGCGTTTTCATAAAACAGAAATAATTCTTTTTTACAAACATTCGGCCTAATCCGTTGCATATCTACAAATATATTTATAAATTCCATTTTTTATTCTTTCATTTACTTTTATTGTCGCAATAAATAAAATTAGTTGCAAAAAATATTTTTATCTCCAAGTTGGAGCTTTCGCGCTACAGTTTGCGTTTTTCTTCTTTTTATTGTGTTTCAGAAAAATGCAAATAAATAAGTAAGTAAGTAAGTAAATAAATAAATAAATAAATAAATAAATCCTTCAGCACTTTCTCAGAACTAATGACAGCGAATTTATTCAAAAAGCTTTTATTAATTGGAAGTTGCTTTTATGTTCCCGTGGAGTGTACATACAGCCACATGCACCTCTGGGGTGTATATACAGCCGACAGCTTGTCCACAATTGCATTTGTTTCAGCTTTCATTGCTGCTTTCCACATAATTTAAAGCAAATATATCCAATATAATATCCAATTAATTATATTATATATATATGTATTTATATATAAGTATATATATATATATATATATATATATATATATATATATATATATATATATATATATATATATATATATATATTGTATGTATGTATATGTATGTATATACAATGGGCAGGCTTTAGATAGTATAAAGCCTATATATATACATGATAGAAATACGTAAGTGACATATCCGCAGCAATACATTCATTTTACATGTAGCAGTATTTAGCGCTGCTGCTGCTGCTGCTGCTGCTGCTGCTGCTGCTGCTGCTGTTCAGCAGCACAGCGCCATGGGGGGCCGACGAGGCCTTATTTCCCCTTGTTTTGGTTTTATTTCTTGAATTTAATTAATTAATTTATTTATAATTTCATTTTATTTTCCATTCGCTTCAGAAACTCGAAAGAGTTGGACGGCAGCCGCAGATCTCGAGTGTCTGTACACCGGTGCTGCTGCTGCTGCTGCTGCTGCTGCTGCGGCCTGGAATAAATTTGGCGAAAAAAAGAATAAAAAATTGAAACTTGAATTAATTTCGGATAAATATTAAAAAATAAATATTAATGCATTAATTTAATGGAGTGGACTGTCTGTACAGGCCCGTAGGCGCACAATCTCGAAACTTTTCAAGTTTTGCAAAATGCACTTTTCAGCAGTTCCAAATTTCTTGAATTTTTTGTTTTTCTCTTTTAAATAAACTCCTTAATTCCATTTTCTTTATCTCAGAATAATTAATTATATTTAGAATTGATTTTTGATTCTCCAGAAGTTATTTGAATGCATGCATGCACCCCGTTCTGTAGCGCGCAAAGACAAAACTTCGAGTGTACGTACACACGTGCTGCTGCTGCTGCTGCTGCTGCTGGCGCTGCTGCTGCTGCTGATGCTGGAGAAGGTTGCTGCCATCTGTTGCTCTAAGGGAAGCCCCGCCTGCTGCTGCTGCGTCTGCTGCTGCAGGGTCTGCTGCTGCTGCGTCTGCTGCTGCTGCTGCTGCTGCTGCTGACTCTAATAGGCGCACTTGTAGAAATATATGTATTAGCAAATCCACGCATGCACTCTACGGTGTATATACACCTGCTTCGAAACAAATATAAGAACAAATTCCTCTTCTTGCATGCATGCGCATGCAAAAATGCATGCAAAGACATTTATATTTATACAATTATAAACCCGGGGCCTTGTGGACTATTTATTTGTGTCTTTGCTCCGAGGCAGCAGCAGCAAGCAGCAGCAGCAGCAGCAGCAGCAGCAAGACAGGGAAAAAAGACCAAAGAAGCAAATTGATAAACTAAATTAATTAATTAATAAAATAAATTGGAAGAAAAGAAAAGAAATAATACATGCAGCAATGCATGCAGCACAAGTCACGAGTTGCTGCCGTACTGACACACAAACAAGAGCAGCAAGCAGCAGCAGCTGCAGCACAAAAAGCAGCACCAGCTGCTGCAGCAGAAGCACCACCAGGAGCAGCAGCAGCAGCTGCTGCTGCTGCCACACAGCCAATAGCTGCTAAACAAATAGCTCAAAAGTCACTCAGTTCGCCGTGCAGCTCCTGCTACTTCTTCAGCAGCAGCAGTTGCTGCTGCTGCGGCAGCAGCAGCAGCAGCCAGAGCAGCAGCAACAAACTCAACGGCAGCTTGGAATCATCCGCAATTGTCGCATCTGCTCGCAGCAAGCTGCAGCAGAACTTCCAGCCGCTGCTGCTGCTGCTGCTGCTGCTGCTGCTGCTGGCGCGGTTTGCTGCAGCTGCTCATCCCTTTCGAAGTCTACTCGACGAGCCTCCGCAGCAGCAGAAAACGAGCAGCCCAGCAGCAACAAACAGCAGCAGCAGCGGGAAGCAACAGCAGCAGCAAGAAATGGCAGCAGCAAGGAGAAGCAGCAGCAGCAAGTGCTGCAGCAGCAACCCCCAAAACCCCCTACAAAGTGCAGCAGCTAAAGGAAACTCAAGAGAAATGAAAGAGAAGCAAATTAGCTGCAGCCAGCTGCAGCAAACGGACAAGCAGCAGGCAGCAGCAGCAGCATCTGCTGCTGCTGCAGCAACACCCCTCATTGCTACCCTCAATCCTAACCACAGCAGCAGCAGCAGCAACCTCGCAGCAGCAGCATTCAGCTTCGCAGCAGCAGTCTGGACCGCTGCTGCAGCAGCAACCTCGCAGCAGCAGAAGCCTCAAAAGCAGCAGCACCGAGCCGCAGCAGCAGCTGCCGAGAACAGCAACATAAAAGATGCTGCAGCAGCTGCAGCAAGCAGCAGCAGCCACAGGCGAAATAGGAAGACCGCTGGCAGCAAGAGAAACAGGTGAAATCGCCGGCATGCTCCGCGTGTCTGCTGCAGCAGCAGCTGCAGCAGCAGCAGCAGCAGCAGCAGCAGGGGCAGTGAGGCGTACGTACAGCCCAACACACCGTCGCTGCTATTTTTTATTTTTATTTATTTACATTTTTTATTCTTACAATTCGAAGAGACACACAAACAACAGTCCAAACCTCAGCAGCACTCCACCGCAGACCCAACCCCCCGGAGCAGCAGCAGCAGCAGCAGCAGCAGCAGCAGCGGCGACAGCAAGGGCTTTGCGAGCAGCACTGCAGCACAAACGACGCAGAAACTCCACAGCATGCAGCATTTTTAAAACTCTGATAACATTTGCCACTAAGCAGCAGCAGCAGCGGCAGCAGCAGCAGCAGCAGCAGCTAGGAGTGGGGGGCGGCAGCTGTCGGGTCCCTGCTGCAGCAGCAGCTGCGGTGGCTGCTGCTGGAGCAGCAGCAGCTGCAGCAGCTGCGGCAGCTGCTGCTGCAGGAACGGCCCTCGCCTCATTTTTGCTGCTGTATTTAATCTTTAATGTTGCATTTTATTTTCTGTTTTTAGAAACCCCAACTCGCCTTTTTGCTGCTGCAGCAGGTGCTGCGAGCAGCAGCAGCGGCAGCTGCTGCTGCTGCTGCTGCCAGGTTGTGCATAGTGCTGGTGCTCCCAACGCAGCAGCAGCAGCAGCAGCAGCGTGTACTGTCTCGTCTAGTGTCTGTTAATATTGCTGCTGTGCCGTCTCTTTTTAGCTGCAGTAAAACAGCAGCAGCAGCAACAGCAGCGGCAGCAGCAGCAGCAGCAGCATGTGCCCTCCCAGCCCGGTGCTGCTAACGAACAAATCTTCCCTACTGTAGGGCCCCGTCGCAGTTTCTGCAGCAGGCTGCTGCTGCAGTGCTGATGCAGCAGCAGCAGCAGCAGCAGCAGGAAGATGCCGCCTCCTGCTGCTGGCAGCGCTTCCGAGCGCGCAGCTGCTGAGGCCCCGTCTTCTCGCGGTGTCTCAGGAGCAGCAGCAGCAACAGCAGCAGCAGCAGCAGCAACGGCAGCAGCAGCAACACCAACAACGACAACGGGACTCGCCGCCGCGGCCTCCCTTCTGCAGCAGGGATCCCCGGCAGCAGCAGCAGCTGCTGCTGCTGCTGCTGCAGGGGCTGCATCCGCTGCTGCAGCTGCTGCTTCGCAGGGGAACCCAGCAACAACGCCGCCTACATCGGCAGCAGCAACAGGAGCAGCAGCAGCAGCAGCAGCAGCAGCAGCAGGTTCGGAGCTCGATGTGGAGGCCGACGTCCACACCCTGTTCCAAAGGCTCTTCTTGGGTGAGCTGCTGCAGCTGCTGCTGCTGCTGCTGCTGCTGCTGGCGTTGCTGCTGCTGCTGCATTCTCTTTTTTCTGCTGCTCGACGCTTTGTCCCTCTGCCCACCATCGTTCCCCGCTGCTCTCCGTGCTGCTGCTGCTGCTGCCTCCCCTGCTGTTGCTGCTGCTGCTGCCTCCCCTGCTGCTGCTGCTGCTGCTGCGTCCCGGCTATGGTTGCTGCTGCTGCTGCTGCTGCCCCTCCCCCGGCGCCGCAGCGTCCGCCCTCGCCGCTGCTGCCGCGCGGCGCCCACCTCGCCACCTTGCTGCCGCTGCTGCTGCTGCTGCTGCTGCTGCTGCTGCTGCTGCTGCTGCAGGGGGCGCGTCTGCGGACCTGGTTCTTGCTGCTCTGGAACGGGGGAGTTCTGCTGCTGCTTCCGCTCACGAAGCAGCAGTTGTGTCTCGGTTTCTCTCCACTTTATTTCGAGAAACGCGGCACCTCCCGCGCTACCCGCTGAAAGAGCTGGCAGCAACAGCTGTGCTGCTGGGGCAGCTGCTGCGGCAGGGTTTGCTGCTGCAGCGGGGCCCCTCGCTTGCTGTTGCGCTGCGCTGCGTCTTGGAGGCCCTCCGCAAGGGGCCCCCCAGCAAGATGTGGATGTTCGGAGTTGCTGCTTTGGAACAAGTCCTGGACTGTCTCTTTTTTTATCCCGCGTTTGCTGCTGCTGTTGCAGAGAGACACGAGCTGCTGCTGCTGCACTCCCACTACCAGCAGCACGCAGCAAGAGTTGTTGCTGCGCTGCCCCCGGACCTCCGCAGCAAAATCCACCTCTTGGAGAGCGAGCTCGCCGGAGTTGTGCTGCCTCCCGCCCCCACCATTGGCATGCGCGGCAAGTCCTGCTGCTGCTGCTGCTGCTGCTGCTGCTGCTGCTGCTGCTGCTGCTGCTGGTGCTGCAGGTTCGGCTTCGGGGGTTGTGGTGCCGGGGCCTATGGCGCTGAACATGCAGAATGAGAGGTTTCCGAAGATCCTGGAGCAGCAGCAGCAGCACTTGCTGCAGCAGCAACAGCAGCAGCAGCAGCAGCAGCAGCAGCAGTTGCTGCCGCACGAGCACCAGCGCGACGCTTCGCAGCAGCAGCAGCAGCAGTTCGGGGTTTTGGGCGGCGGCAGCAGCAGCGGGGGCAGCAGCGGCGGGACGCCGCTGCCGGGCCTGTCGGCGAGCAACAGCGCGGCAGCAGCAGCAGCAGCAGCAGCAGCAGCAGCAGCAGCGGGCAACAGCAGCAGCAGCGGGGCGAGCCTGCTGCTGCAGCAAGGCGGCAGCATGGAGGCGCTGCTGTCGCGAGACGAAGAGTTCATCCAAGACCTCGTGGCGCCTCCGAGCTGGTTCAAAGATGCTGCTGCTGCTGCATGCAACAGCATTTGTGCTGCTAATGTTGCTGCTAAGGCGCTGCAGCTGCAGCAGCTGCTGCAGCCGGAGTTCGTCCCCTGGCTGTCTCTTTATTTGGTGAAGAACAGAGCCACGAAGGAGCCGAACCACCACGCGGTGTACATCCAGTTCATTTTGCTGCTGCAGCAGCCGCGCCAGGAGCTCGAGCAGCAGCAGCAGCAGCAGCAGGAGCCGCAGCAGCACGCGGGCAAGCCGCAGCAGGCCCAGCCCCCGCAGCAGCAGCAGCAGCAGCAGCCCGCCGCGGAGAAGCCGGGGGAGCCCTTGCAGTCCCCCCCGCAGCAGCCCCAGCAGCAGCAGCAGCAGCAGCAGCAGCAGCAGCAGCAGCAGCTGGTGGTAATGGACTCTGTGGTCTCAACTACTTACGAATGCGTCAAAGCTTTGCTGCGCTTTGTTGCAACAGCAAAAGACTCTTCGGCTTTCCGCACAGTTCTTAAGAACTTGGGCCTCTGGCTGGGCAGCATCACCATCGCCAGGTGCTGCTGCTGCTGCTGCTGCTGCTGCTGCTGCTGCTGCTGCTGTTTCTGGTGCTGTGGCTTTATTGTTGCTGCTGCTGCTTGTGCTGCTGTCTTTTCGTGGTTGTTGCTGCTGGTGGTGCTCCTCTTCTGTGCTGCTGCTGCTGCGTCATCTCGACTGCTGCTGCTGCTGCTTTGCTGCTGCTGCTGCAGCAGCAGCAGCAGCTTGAAGTCTGTTTTTTTGCTTCGACTTGCAGAGCTGCCTTTTGCACCGTTTCAACGGGAATTTCAGCACCATTCCGGAATAAAATAAAAATAAAAGTAAAAAACAAAATAAAACAAAATAAATAAAAAAGAAAATAAAATAAATGAAATGCGTTGCAGAAACAAGCCGCTGCGGTCGAAGCACGTGGACCTGAAGAAGCTGCTGCTGTGTGCGTACACCTCGGGGCAGCTGGTGGCAGTGCTGCCTTTCGTTTGTCGAGTTTTGGAAAGTGTTTCCATTTCTAAAGTTTTCAAACTTCCCAATCCCTGGACTGCTGCTCTCGTCAACCTCCTCGCCGACTTCCACAGGCTCCCCCACCTCAGGTCGGCTGCTGCTGCTGCTGCTGCTGCTGCTGCGGCGGTGGGAGTGCTGCTGCTGCTGCGGCGGTGCTGCTGCTGCTGCTGCTGCGGCGGGCGGGGTGCTGCTGCTGCTGCTGGTGGTGGTGGTGGTGGTGGGGGGGTCGGTGGTGGGGGTGGTGCTGCTGCTGGGGGGTGTGTCTTGTTGCTGTTGCTGCTGCTGCTGCTGCTGCTGCTGAGGGGCCATTGCTGCTGCTGCTGCTGCTGCTGCTGTTGCTGCAGGACGAATTTGGTATTTGACATCGAAGTGCTTTTTAAAAGACTGGACATAAATGTGGCGGACTACGGCAGCAAAAGCAGCATAATTGCTGCTCTTCCTTTGCCAGTGGACAGCGCGGACTTTGTGGTGCGGCCGCAGCAGCAGCAGCAGCAGCAGCAGCAGCACGAGTCGGCAGCAGCAGCAGCAGCAGCGGCGGCGGCGGCGGCGGTGCGCGGCGGGCAGGTGCAGCAGCAGCAGCCTCCTGCGGGTCTCTTTGCGCCGGACGAGAGGGGGGTCAGGGCGTTGGGTTTGCTGCTGCAGCAGCAGCAGCAGCAGCAGCAGCGTTATGGCGCGGCCTCGCTGCCTTTGGATTCGCAGCAGCAGCAGCGGCTGCTGGACGCGGCGGCTGCTGCTGCTGCT